AACCCTATCAGTCAACCCTAATATGGATTAGCCTTTAATTAGTAGTACAAAGACTAAACTGCCCCCACTTAAGTATGGGACAGGAAGTCTCTATTAAAACTRCCAMATAARCACATAACTTAAYAGAAATAAAATGACTAATCTACCCTTATTCGGCTAGCTCTAACAAAATCGAACTCGAACCCGAGTTTAGTAGTATTTTAGTTGAATCGAGCCAAGACATGCAAAAGTTTGGCTCAGCTCGGCACGACTGCACCCCAAACCACCAGCATAAAATTCAGAAAACCCAAACCATGATAGAACCATAAAAGCCATCCACCTCATCACAAACCACCTTAACCACCACCACCACCAAGCAGTGGCCTTTGTACAAGCCACCTTAACCAAAAACCAACCAAATGAAACAGAAGCCTGTAAAACCATTGAGAATCCTGAGAAGAAAACTAAGAGCAGAACCACTCATACCACAACAGCAACTAGCAGCCAAGAAGCACCTCATTTCCTTCTACCCCTATGACATATTCCCCAACCCTCTCAGTTTTCTTTGCCCTCTCCCTCTGGAAGCATGTCATATTAATAATTTGTTGGATACCCCTGAACATACTTTCCAAATCAAAACAGAAGAGAAGAAATTTTGCCCACAAAAACATTAACATGTTGATGCTTCCTTTTTCATGCATGTAGAATTTTTTTTCTCTATTTTTTGGATAGACCGCTAGAAAACAGAATTAAGGAGAAATTTCCTAGAGTAGAGTCTTTACATTATACCACCTTCCAACCTAATTAAATTAAAATCGTAATGCTAGTGATATTCACACATCCTAATAAAGGGCTAGGAGTGTATCAAATATTTGCTTGTTTTGCTCCTACCAAGGCCCCAATAAATCACAAAAGGAAAAAGTTCCCACAACATCTGTCCTCTAGCACCAAAACCATCATGAGGCCAAGAGAGAGGATCTCTTCCAAAGATTAGGGGGGGGGGGGGGGGTCCGAGACAAGCCAAACCATCAAGTGTCAAAACCTTGCTAAGAAAGGATAGTCAAAAAAAGGAGCACAGAATCTCCATAAGCTTTATTTTTTCGTAAATGCAAAAATAGAGTTTGTAATATGACATCTAACATATCAAAATATAATGTGCCAAAAAATATTATCTATAAGAATATCCCGTATCTATACCCCTACGTGGGCATGCCACCAAACTGCCAACTTGTACTCATAGATTAATAGTCCACTTGTAATTGAAGGAAACACTCTTTATCTTGTAAAAACATTAGAAAAATTGCCAATTTATTATCAATGACATTGACAGTGAAAGTCCATCCTAACAAATAAGTAATATTTGAAAGTCCCATTCTCCCATAAGTAACCACTCTAATATTTGGCTGGTATATGCTTTAATAGAGAACATAAACACAGTGCAATAGATGGAAATTAAAAGATTCTAGCTGGAAAGAAATCTGTATGGATATCAGTTAGCTCTTGACACAAGCTAACATTATAGGAAGAATCAGAGGCAAGAACTTGTTAAGACCATCCACACTACCCGTGGAGTCAAAACTTTATTACTAACAATACAAATAGAAGATGGATAGACAGAAACAAAATAAGTGATGATAATCACTGTTTTTATATCCCAGAATCATAAAGAATAGTATATCAATTTATGTCTCCCAATAGTGTGAATTCATAATACAAAAGAAATCTTATAGCTTAGGTTGCCATAAGAATACACATTGACATAGAAAATCTATCACCTGTGAACAATATCCATAAGCACAAGCAGTCCTAGCTCATGAGCTCTGTCTATCAAAGACTTAAGATCATCTGGAGTTCCACAACGGCTGCTAGGTGCAAAAAAGTTGGTGACATGGTACCTGCAACACATTTAAAAAAATGCAACTGTGATTGACTAACAACAGGACCAAGCAAACATTTATCAAAAAAAAAAACAACAGGCCCAGAAAAATGGATCAAGTAGAAAGAGATCGGACACAAAGTGAACAAAACCAAAAGAATAAACAATAAAAGGAATAATGCAAGATGGCAAAAAGGAAGCAATGACATAAAGATGGTTCAAATGTTAAATGCTCCACTAACATTATTTTATCTTTCACAAAAATGTTAAAGAAATACCCGAAACTAGCATAATATGAATGTTCTTGAATGGCCATTATCTGAACAGCATTATATCCAAGCTTTTTAATGCGAGGGAGCACTTCATCTCTAAAGTTGGCATATGTGTTGATAACTGGCTCCTGCAACACAAAGTTAACTTGAAAATGGGGCTCCTAGTGTACAAGTGGTAAACTCTATTGTATTAAGTATATATATGGTATATATGCATTAACAATGGGTCAACATTGCTTTTAAATATATTCAAGTTTTTAGTATATAAGAGTTAATAGCCCATAAATTTCAAAGAGGAGAAATGCACACCGTACTACTCATCCCCACATGTGACTCATATATTCGCAGTGATCTAGGTCTTTTAGGCTGAGGATGTTGAAATACATGCTTTTCCTGTAACAACATTTACAATAGAAAAATGAGGGGGAAAATAACAAAAGAAAAAGAAGCATCAAATAAAGGCAGTTCATTTAGGGTAAACTAGAATAGAATCACAAGAGCTTCACTATTTTTCTGGTAAGCCAGCTAGAGGCTATCTTACCTCTTCTGGAGGATCATAATATATGCCATTGTATGGAATTTCACCAGGAGCTTGTACAGAGAACTTGATCCAAGCAGGAATTGAATCTTTGACACCAGATGAAGTGTCCATACGGATCTGTGATTAATGATTACATGGTTAAGATAGGGTCTAATATTGGCAGCACAAGTCAACAGTTGAGATCAGTGTTTCAGGTTCACTATTTGTATGTATGCATCAATGGTGTAAATATATATGTAAAATTAATAAAAGTTAAAACACAACAAATTAAGAAACCAGGAGTTCAAAAATATCTTAAACATAGAACAAAGAAGTAGAAAAGTCAAATGGCTTTACCATGGCTTTCTATCTAGATTGTTGGGAAGTGTTAAAGGTTGACCTGTGTGAGGATTTCCATCAATTTGCAGATAATCACTTTATAAGCCAGGGGATTAATGCCACCTTTCTAGCCTTGATACCCAAAAAGCCAGATGTTACACACCCCAAGGATTTTAGGCCCATCAGTTTAGTGACTAGCATATATAAAATTTTGGTGAAAGTGTTGTCTTTGAGGTTAAAGGCTATTCTCCCACCTCTTATAAGTCAGCCTCAAGGGGCCTTCAACAGATTGTTGACCAAATTCTAGTAGCCAATGAGTACGTGGAGGAAATGAAGAGGACCAGAAGCAAAGGATTTGTGTGTAAGTTGGACACGGAGAAACCTTATGACTTGGTGGACCAAAGTTTTCTATTAGAGGTGATGAAGAATTGTGGTTTTGGGGAGAGATGGTGCAATTGGGTTAATAGTTGCTTACAATCTTGTCATTACTCTATTCTGATAAATAGGGTGGTTAAAGATTTCTTCCCAACTTCAAGAGGTTTAAGGCCATGTTTGGGAGTGCTTATGTTAAAAATAAGTGCTTATTCGAATACGCACTTATTTGCATTTGGCACCCAACTTTCTCAAGTGCTTATTTTAAAAAATAAGCAATTATTTCATATTGGGTGTTTGGTAGTCAATTAGTCTTTCTCCAATAAGCACTTAAATATGCATTTGTGACTATTTTGTCCTTCATTTTCTATCAATTTTTCAAAATATACCCTTATGAAAGTACATTTATTAAATTACTTTTATAAAAACACTTTTATAAAAGTGCTTTTATGAAAGAACATTTCATTGGGGAGGGTAGAATTATCCTAATAAAACAAACCTTATCAAACTTACCTCTCTACTATCTCTTGGTCTTCAAAATACTGTAGAGAGAGGCTAGGGAGTTAGAGAAAATTATGAGGGATTTCCTTTGAGAACCAGGAGAAGGGAAGAAAGAGCATCTAGTTAATTGGGGGATCGTATTCGTATGCAGAAGTAAGAAAGAAGGGGGCTTAGCCATAGGCAATGTGGTTAAGAAGAACTTGGCACCTTTGGAAAAATTGTTGTGGAGGTGGCTGTTAGAGTGGAAGAGACCTTGGCATTAGGTAATTGCTAGCATTCATGGTAAGTTGAAAAACAGTTGGGATGCAGGTGTATCCCACAGGGCTACGTTGGCATCACCTTGAAAGGCAATTCACATCATTCTTCCTATCTTCCTTTTGTAAGGTATGATGTGTGCATAGGGATTCTGTTTGGTTTCGGGAAGATAACACTTGGATTGGAAATTGTCCTCTAAAAGACATTTCCCTTCTTTGTTTGCCATCTCTTCATTCAAAAAGACTCTAGTATCTACTTTCATTGCCCACTCTTCACTTCCCTTGAGCCTTAATTGAAACTTTGGTTTTCGTAGAGGGTTGAGAGACAGTGAATCTGAGAATGTGGTTACTCTATTACACATTCTTGATACTATTTGTCTCGACCCTTCTAATTTTGATAGTCATTCCATTCTTTGTGTTCTTCACCCTCTCCCCAAGTTTTCATTCTATTGAGGTTTGGTGTAAACTGGTACCCCAAAACTAGATGCCTTTTGCTGGGATGTTTGTCTCAAGAAGATTAACACTTTGGATAATCTACAAAAAAGAAGACCATCTCTTTGCTTATCCCCTAGTAGGTCTGTTCTTTGCAAATCCAACGATGAGAGTTGTCACCATGGTTTTTAAAACCGACCAGGAGACCGAACCGGTCAGGGGTTCGGTTACCGAGTCGAATGGTCCGACCGTTCGAACCAAGCGGTCGACCCGTTATAACAAAAAAAATTAAAAAATAAAAAACGGTCAAAACCGTTTGAAGGGTTTGAACGGTTAACCGCCCGAGTCAGCGGTTTGCTGACCAAAATCAATGGTTTTTTAAGAAATCCCGGTTTTGGGGAAAACCGAAACCAATCACCTAACCGGTTCCCGGTTTTTCCAGTCCGACAATCCGATCCAGTCCGGTTTTGAAAACCATGGTTGTCACCACTTGTTTATATCTTGTTTCTTTTATAGAAAACATTTGGGTATGGTTGTTCACTTTATTTGGGTGCAAGTGGAATCTTCCGGTTTTTCCAGTCCGACCATCCGGTCCAGTCCGGTTTTGAAAACCATGGTTGTCACCACTTATTTATATCTTGTTCCTTTTATAGAAAACATTTGGGTATGGTTGTTCACTTTATTTGGGTGCAAGTGGAATCTTCCAATAGAGGTTAATGGTCTCTTTGATCCATCTTCCTGTGGTATTCCTCACAAAAGGGGTAAGATAATGCGGATACCATGTGAATTATTCGATTAACCCTAGTTCAGTTCTAGGTCTGAAGTGAGAAGAGAAAGGGTTCCTTATGAGAAGAAGAAAAGTCACACACTCTCAGCCGACCCACTTTATATTTATACTCTTTGTATTAGATTACAAAAGACAAATTTGTCCCTCATTAAGTATGGGACACACAACTTAAACCCAAACAAAATAGACCACTCAACCTTAATTAGATAGACAAAAGACTTAACTACCCGTGTACTGTCAATTCTAACAATAATTAACAATACTAGGGGTGTACAACGGTCGGTTCTATTCGGTTCAAACCAAGGACCTAACCGACTATTCAGTTTTACCATTTCCTCTAACCGAACCGAACCAAATTATATTTTAGAACCAAACCGACCCTAACCGAATTTGGTTTGGTTCGGTTTTCTGCTTGGTTGGACCTTGGTTCCACATGAATGACAAGAATTTAATAAGTGTTATTAATGAAAAGTTAAAATGGCCCCAAAACCCAATGGTTTTAATTAATTAACTATTAACTATTATTAATTAAAAGTTAGAATGACCCCAAAGCCCAATGGTTTTAATTAATTAGCTATTATTAATTAAAAGCTAAAATAGGCCCAAAGCCCTATGCCAATGGGGAATTGGCCAATTGGCCATTTTCAAAAATAATTAATGATTAATGAACAATTAATAATAAGTCTAGATTTTAATTAACTATTATTAATTGTTCATTGGGAAATATAATAATTAATTAGCATAAAGTATTAAATAAAACATTAATGTTTAATATACTTAACTAAATAACAGATATAATTTGGTTTGGTTGAAAATTTCAATCAAACCAAACTGAAACCGAAAACCGATTTTTTTTTTAAATAAAAACCGAACCGAACCGATAGCCGAATTAGCTTATTTGGTTTGGTTTTTGGTTTATCAACCAAATTTGAACACCCCTAAACATTACTTGGTTATTTAGTTGGTTACTAATAAAATAAAGCAATTTACACTCAAAATCTCTTATAACATCTCTCTTAACCCAAAAATATCTCTTTGATTCCCTCTCACTTAATATAATAATCCTGATGTGCCAATCTGTCTTAATGTACCACATGTGAAAATATCATCTCCATTCATATGTTCACCCGTGACATGTGACAGTGGGACCCACCAATCTATATACCAAAAATGATAGCTATGGTTTTTCCTTAAAATAAAAAAATAAAAAGTAAATAAAACAGAAAATATCAATAAGATAAAAATTGATCAAAATTATCATACTCTTTTTATCCAATCTCACTTTAAAGCCATTAAGCTCCAATGGAGTTGTTATGTATTTGTTTATGACAAAACAGTTCATTTGAAAACATTTATAAATTACTTTACAATAAAAATGGACAAGAATATATGTAAATTAAGTAAAAAGATTATTTTATTAAGGTAGAAAAGGTTATAAACATAAAATGAAGTACGAAAACTTCAAAAACAAAGGATTCAATTGGATTCATGTTAAAACAAATATATATGTAATAAATTAATAAATAAGTAAATATATAAACTGACTCACTTATATATATATATATATATATAATGCATAAAAAATTACAAATAAAGAAATACAATGTATGAACAAGTTAAGCAGAATGATTATTAAACTAAGCTAGAGAATGTTAAGGCTCAGCCTCACCTCTCCAAGTCTCAATCACCTCACCGCCTCCTTTAGCCTTTTAAAACTGAGAGTTGAAGTAGTGAGAGGTTATTTGAGGGCCCATAATTTAACAATGGATATGGAACTGAACAGACCAGTGTTAAAAAGATTCATGTGGTCAACCTCATAGTTGGGACAAGCCTTTGTTGTGTTGAGTTGCATTCAATTGATCATATATGAGAGATTTCATGTAAAGATTGGTTAAACAGCATATGCTTTTTCCAACACATAAAAGGCAGCTGGGTTGGTTGGACTTAGTGAAACCCTGTGGACCCATACTAAAAATGCCTAATTCTCTCAGGACCTATTCCGCACCACATCTTTCTCCTTTTCATATGTTTCTCCTTCCATTCCCACATTATTTGGCATTGAGAAGGCTTAACTAGGTCGCCTCAGTATTAGACCTCCAAGGACTAGGTCATTGCTAAATGTATCAAATATAGTATTAAACCTTGTCCTATCAGTCCTGTTTTCACCATCCATTCAGTTCAGTGCTATATCCATTGTTAAATTATGGGCACTTAAATCATTTCTTATTATTTCCACCCAAGTCCTTTTCAGTCTGCCCCTAGCTCTTCTAGCCCCTTCAACTTCTAACAGATTACTTTTTTCTAGCAGGTGCTGTAGATGGTCTTCTATGCACATGAACAAACCATCTCAACCTACTGTATTAAATATGGTATGTGCTAACAAAACATACACCATGATAGAGATGAAAAAAGCTCCAACTTCAAGCAGAAATGAAGAATACACAAGGTGGAAACACACTCCATAACTCACTAAATGTCATAAATATGAATTTGCTATAGACAAAATGAAATTTATAGATCAATAAAAAAACAAACAAAATGCCATAAATACAAATCAAATGCACAAATGAAATCAGATTTGTGAGGTACAAACCAATTTGCTATAGACAAAATGAAAAACAAAAGGCATCTATTAATTGACAGGAAAGGAAAAAACTACATTGATCGTCAAGGTAAAGTTACCTTAACTCGGGAGCCATGAGGAATTGGTGGTGAACCATCTGCATTGTTTGGCAAAAAGACCTCCCAAACACCAAACTCATTCTGTGAACCAATATTGAAAGATTGGTTTACATAATTGAAACAAATAATCCTAGCGCAAGAATAAAATAAAAATAAGAAATTTTCATCTGGTAAATACTAAGGTTTCTTTAACCAAATTTGAAGAAATACACCAGCAAAATTTCCATCTTATAAAGTAATACTTGATGACAAACTAAAATAGACAATGAAATATTTGGAATCAAATTCCCAAAAAAATCCTTGCACAAAAGGGTAATAGTTGGTTTACATAAGATAAAATGGAAGAAGGTTTGAAGGAAAACGAAATGTAGAAGAAAAAAGAAGAGAAAGAGACAAGGAAAAGAGAAGCTTACACTTCATTAATTATATATCAATGAGGAAATTTACATAAACCCTGTGGGTTACTGTATCCTTAACACTCCTCAAGCTGAGCATAGATATTCATCATGCCCAACTTACTAACACTGACCAATAATTTAAGTTTAACTACAACTTTTGTAAATGCATCAGCTATTTGATTTTATGACTTTACAAACAACTTTTCTAGTAGCCACCTACACTTTGATGAAGTCAAGATCAACTTCAATGTGTTCACTCCTATCATGCTGAACTGGATTGTGAGCAATGTTAATTTTTTCTATTGCTAACATGAATGGTATTAATGCTAATTGCAGCTTGGTTATTTAATGGGATCATCAAACACAATTCCGAGCTCCCTTAAGAGAGTCTTCAACCGAAGTAGCTTTGAAACTCCACAAGCTATTGTCTAGTACTTTATTTAAGAATTTGACGTGGCAAGTGGCAACAATGGATTCTTTCTTGCTTCCCTAAGAAATTAGACTACCACCTATGAAAATATTGTACCCAAAGGTGGATCACTCATCATCAATGAAGCCTGCCCAATATGCATTGAAGGTTTCAACTTGGAGGCAGCTATATAAGTCTCATATCATGTTTGTAGAAGCATCTTTTTACTGTTTTGAAGCCCTAAAGACTTATACCATCCACTAAAGTGGTGATTTCATCCCTAAAAGTGGGGTGCTCTTTGTTCCAGATTCAACTATACTGTTTCACCGGAAGATTTTAACAATTCTTGTTGCTGTTTTCTACTGGTTTTATATATTTGCTACATCAAATTTGGTATCCTAGCTTAAGAAACCAGATCAAAACCATGGCAGATCATGATAGGGGACATGGAGGTAGAGGAAACCAGGTTCAACAAGGGGAAATGTTGGAGATGAAACGTATGATTGAAGACTTGTCACGGACTGTGCAAGCCTTGCAAAGACAGGAGTGAGCGGAAGACCGCATGGAGATTCCGGAAGGCAACCGCGAACCTTCAGACATACCAGAAGGTAGTCTTGGAGATGAAGTTGAGGTTGAGGAAGAGAATCCCTTCCACAACCCTAAAAATGGAGGGGTTGAACATGGTGGGTTAGAAGAACAATCGGTACGTGATTTAGACCTTAACGGTGGTGGAATCAAAATAGAAGTTGTTAATTTCCCAGAGAAGATGCATGCAGAAGACTATTTGGATTGGGAAACTAGCATGGAAAATTATTTTGAGTGGAAACCAATGGCCGAGGAACGGAAGGTGTTGTTAGTTAAGCTGAAATTGAAAGGTGTTGCACTTCAATGGTGGAAGCAAGTTGAAGAGTAACATTCTTGTCAAGGGAAGCCAAAAATCAATACATGGGAGCATATGAAGTCAAAGATGAGGAAGCAATTTCTACCAGCTGATTACACCATGGAGTTATATGAGAGATTCCATTTATTGAGGAAAAAAGGGATGACAGTAGAAAAATACACATCAAAATTTAATAATCTCTATATTCGGGTTGGTCTTAATGAGAGCAATGAGCAACTAACAGCTCGTCATCTCACGGGACTTAACCCATCCATTAGAGATGAGATGAGTGTAGTGAAACTATTTAGTCTAGAAGATACTCAACAATATGCCTTAATGGCTGAGGAATGAGTATTTCGTTAGGGTGTAAGGGTGCCCTGTCCTAATGCAAGCTCACTGCAACAATGCCATACAAGTGCTGTTAAGAGTGCTTGGAGTGAGCAAACAGTTGTTAAAAATGCCAAAGGAGTTAACACCATGGGTTGGGTAACAATTAACAATTCTATTGGAGTTGGTAAGGATGAGAAAGGGAAAGAACCCACAAGATTCAGCAACTCTAACCATTCAGATGGGGGTACTTCTAAAGGTGGCAGCAGATCCAATCTTCGTTGCTTCACATGTGGTGAACAGGGTCGTGCTTCTTACACCTGCCTGCATCAAAGAGTTAACTTGGTGGAGGTTGACGATGAAGAAAATGAATTGGGGAACCGGAATATGACCATTATGAAGAAGAAAAAGAATAGAGAGATTTTTGCCCAGCTCAAGGTGAAAGTTTGATGGCTCAAAGAGTTATGATGTCACCAAAAGGTAAGGAGGCTGAAGATTGGCAGAGACACAATATTTTCCACACGTGTTACTTGTGATGGCAAGGTCTGTAATGTCATACTTGATGGGGGCGGCAGTGAGAACCTGGTATCTAGGGAAGCTGTGGAAAAGCTAAAGTTGCCTATGGAAAAGCACCCAAATCCCTACAAAATTGCTTGGTTCCTGTTAGAATGCTCGAGTCAGGGGTATTTTGGTCATTCTGGTGTATCTTATTGAAAGTGAAATGTCTATTGTATCTGAGTTTAAGTT